CGGAGCCCTCCTCCGCCCGCCGCCGCCTCCCTGCCCTGCCCTGCCGGAGCCGCCGGCTCTCGGCCCGACTTCGCCCGGTCCCCTTGAATGCCACCGGGCTGCCCGCGGGCTCGGCCAGCCCCTGCAGGTCATCCGGGATGCTGTCCCCGTCCCATCCCCCGATTTGCTCAGCCTCGGCTCTCTCATTGTCCTGATTCTTAATGAAGACATGAACAATCCCAGTCCAGGGCGAGACAACGGGGATACTCTCCTCCTCTTGATGCTTCCTCTCAGCTAGACTTCGAGCCCTTGATGAGGGCATGGTTGTTAGCACCACTGTCCACCAGATAGAGCTCAGGGATCCTTAAAGCACGATTAACCCTTAAATGGAAAGTGAAATACAAACACAGACAATTCAACATCTTAAAATCAGTCTAACTTTACTAGTACAAGTATTATGTTAGCAGTTTCTATATTTCGAGAGAGAAAAACACTGAAGCAAGTTCCTGAAGCAAAGGGTGCGTCAGAGAGGTGTTGAAGGCTGGATTTATGATAACCACACAACTACTTTCTTACTTCCCCCTTTTTATGCTTTTCTTTAACTGCACTCCTTTGATCAGAGGTTCCCAACCCCCCGGCCGTAAAGGGTTGACTACTGGTCCGCAGGAGGGCTGGCTGCAGGACCAGAAGTCTGGAAGTGCCCGGCATACAGCAGACTGGCAGCCAACTGGCTGCTGGTCCACAGTTTACAGGTCTGCAGTCACTTCTGGTCCACAGTGTAAAAAGGTTGGGAACCACTATGACTCCTTGCTTTCAGATTGGTCTCTCTGCAGTCAACATATTGTCTATATTTTATCCTGTCAGTATATTCCTTTGTTCAACAGACCCAACATGAGCGCACCTCTTAATTTGGCCTTTTTCCAATGTCTTACTTCGGGCATTGTCCATTGGTTTCCCTTATCACCTTTCATTATCATAGCCAATTATTTCATCCCTCCTATTCAGCCAGTTAGTGCCAAGTTCAGTTAATTGGAGCTGATAAAACTATTACTATGTTGGGTTAGAAACACTCCTCACAGTGATAGAAAAGGAAAGAAACATCATGCGAACAAACACAAGACCATAAGCTGTAAGAGGCAAGGCCAGCTGATACTGCAGACACCAGCCAAATGAAAAGTTCAGATAACAATGAGGCTATACAGAACTTAAGCAATGATTATAAAATAAGGCTGAATATAAAAGAAAACTTTAAACAATACTGTAATTCACCACTCTATAAACAGGTGCAACTTTAAGGCATAAAATATGACAAGCTAGCCTAACAATCTAGGTTCACCTATGACTAGGTTCACTGCATGGAAGTCAGTCTGGTAATGAAACTGCCCCTGCTTCTCAAGGCCTGTATGAGTTGCAGCCATCAGCCAAACTCTTTATGCAGTGAGTGATCATTTCACCCCAGGCTTGCCTGAGATCTGGTTTGTTGAAGGAGCTTGTCATAATATAGTCCTTGCAGCCGCTGAGCTTGATAGCATTCTCATCTAAAGTATAGCCATTTCATTGTCCAATACAATAAAATCACGAACACAAGCAATATTATTTGTACAAAAAGCAAAACAACAATAGGATGTAACATTAGATTTAAAAATCCCATAGCAGTTGAACTTCATCCGTCAGTTTTCCACCAAGGATGCTGTCCAGCATTCCAGACCTTTTTTAATATTGTCAGTACATCTTTTTTGTTATGTTTGATCTGAACCACGGTTTCTTGATTGTATTTCTTAATAGATTGGAGTACAGTGTGTAGATCAGGGTGAGACAAAACTTGCTGCAAAAGTGGCAAATCCAATTCCAGCTGCACTAGGGTTATATCCTGATATAGCCATGGTTTAGCTTGGATAGACTGAACAGTCCGCCGGGGCATAAAATACGTAAAATCACAGTCACAACAGTAATATTCTACAAACACAGCCAATACAGCATAACACAACTAAGCTTGATTGTTCTTTGTACCAAGCAAACTTTTTGATGCTTCAGCAGTGGTCCACATCCTTTCAATTTGTCATGGCTACCCAGGCAACACTACAACATTGCTGAGCCAAATTTAGCTTTGATTTTAACCATCTTTTAAACACAGAGGTCCCAGGTTCAGAGAAGCATCAACTCTGCAGGTTCTTGTTTCCTCTAAAACAATGGGTTAATGCAGTTTTTCACACACATCCTGGTATGTTGGTGTTATAAACAGTATCTAAATACAAATTAGATTCTCTTTATAGCTTTGAAAACTTCATTAGGTGGTTTGCTAAAAATACACACATTATCTTTTAATAAATTTACAGCTTGAAACTTCATATGAATCGTTGTCCTTTGTTTCAAATATTAGAACAACTTTCCAATCCAAGCTGGACAGAAGTGTCCTGGTCTGGGATCCACAGACAAATTCAAATTTTAAGGGGGTATTACCAATGATTTTTACAATATTTACATGATATTGATAAGCATTTAAACTTTTGACAACGTCAAACAAACAAGCAACAAGATGAACAACACAAAATAGACAAAATGATTTTTGTTATAATAATAAAGCCATTGTTTTGGTGAGGGATATGCTGTTGATTCTATTGATGGTAATGTGGCCTTGTGGTCCATCAGTCACCTTTGCTACTGGATTGAATGTTACACTAAGGTTTCTGCAAAAGAAAACAAGCACACACAAACCTGTCGAGGAAAACTCCTTGCAGTGAAATATTATTCATATTTACAGTACTGACATGTTCAGTGGCAATGTACCCATCACTGCAAAACATAGACAAAAAAGGGGGAGGGGCTCAATCCCCTTGTCGCAGGGCACCAAGGGGTGCCTGCACCTTTGAGAGCAGAAACAGCTTAGCAACCAAGCCTGGCAGGCTACACAGAGCCCCACAGCTGCAGGTTGCCTAACAGGCTAACAAGGTAATTTGCTGGCACCTGCAGGCGGTCAGCTGACCAGAAAGAGTCAGAGCCCAGGGCACATATAAGCTCAGGGCTGAGGCTGGCTAGAGATCTACTTTCTCTTTGGCAACTGCAAGGAGCTCCAGCACAACAGAGCAGTCCAATGCATCTGGCTACCTGCTTTGCTACCTGCAAATGCAGTAAGATTCCAGGGGCTTGCAAGGTGCCAGAGATAAAGGGGTCTGGTATTTTAAGGGTGGGAGTTGGCCTTCTTACAGGGGCAGAGTGCTGCCTTTATCATTAATGTCATGTTTTAGCCCAGGGGCTTAGGTTTGTGTTATTGTTTGAACTGGTGGACTGGGAAGAGGCTAATAGGGGAGAGGAGGCCTCATTGGGGGCACACAATTGTATAGAGCCCCAGCACCAGAGGAGTGCAGTCTCAGGGGCTGCAGAGAGCACAGCACCAGAGGGGCACAAGCTGCAAGGTCCAGGGGCCCAGTAATAAGAGGAGTTTGTGGGCTAGTGCTTCAAAGCCGGGCCCAACACAGTGAGCCTAGGCTAGAAGGCCTAGCTATATCAAAGGGGCGGAGTCCGAGTAGGCCAAGGCCCCAGCAGAGCGCAATAGCAATGTAACACCCGTGAGGCATGAGGTGTGGTAAATGGGTGGTTGGAGCCATGCAATTGGCCCATAAGGCCTGAGGTGTCTCATGCTGCATGGCACTGAAGAGGGGTCTGGCAAAGGGTCTACAGATCAGAGAGCTTGAGTAAGGTTCAGCAAACCAGGTCTAAGCGAAGGCTCATGGGCAGCCTCCCAAGTTATTTTTCCATCAAAGACGTGGCAGATGAGATAAGAGGGCAGGGCAGAGCTTGCATGGTCACAGAGCTGCCGGGGCATCACGGCCACCCCTGGGGATCTCGTGCCGTGACACCCCTTTAGGTTACTTCAGGTCATGGAATCGCTTTTGACACTGTGGTAGGCTTTGCCCTGCTGCCCATGCTAGAGCTCATCCACAGATTGTCCTCCTAGCTTCTTACAAAGGCTGTTTTTTAGCAGTCTTTTCTTCTTAAAGAGAGAGGTGCTCTAAGGTACATCTTGCCACACATCTTCCCTCCTTGGCCTTCATCAAGGGTTTTTCTGTCCGAGTGTGCTCCCCCTAGCCTCTTCCCTACAAAGGGTAACCCACAAGGCAGTGGGAGCCACAGTTTTCAGGCGCCCTGTACTTGCCTTTCTCTGGAGTGGCAACATGTGGCATTTTGTAGAGACTACCCTGCCACAAATAGCTCTATCACATTAACCAGTCCCAGGAGGGTATAGTTTTCAGGTCTTACCCAGGATCAATTTCCAGCTCTACTGCCCTGGTCATCTTCACTCCTCATGGGCACTGTCCTCTCTCTCACTTCTGGGCTTCCTGGCCCCTCCTTGGCTAGTTGAGATCTCAGGCTCTCAGCTCTTGCAGTCTCTTTTAACCTTTTGACATCTCTAGGGCCCTGCCTCTGGATTTCCAGACCGCTTTGTCTTTCAAGGCTCTTCCAGACCCCTTTGGGCAATGGGCTCCTGGACCCCTTAGGTCTCCAACTGTGTCCCTCAGACTTTGACTCCTCTCTGGGTCCTCACCATGCTCCTAGGCCAGTGAGACCTGGGCACCGAGCCCTGCTAATACCTGCCTTTCCTGGAATGCAGATCCTTTTTCTCTCACTCAGCTCCACTCTGAGCCTCTGGAACCATCCTGGGTCCCATTTTCTCCTGGCCCCCTCCTTGGGCCACAAGTCACTGACTCTGCTTCACACACTTCTCAGACTGTGAATCACTGGCTTTCTAGCAGTTATTTGAAGTCCCCACACTTTCTTGAACAGGCCTCTCCTACAATGTATTCACATTTTCTCAATGCCAAACACTCCTTTTCACATGGATTAAAGTTCTGCTCAGGACGTGTTAGGGTTCTTGAGGCATAAACCACTGGTCTTTGTTCTTCTCCTTTCCCTTGAAGTAGGGCAACACTGATAGCTCTCTTGGTAGTTACCAGCTGCAAGACAAATGGTTTTGTCTCATTTGGGTAAGCCAATGCAGGAGCCTGTACCAGATCCCTTTTTAACTGAATTAAAACTTATTATTCTGGGCCACATTCCCACTGTCACCCTTTTTCAGCAGTTTAATGAGAGGCTGACTTCTCAATGAACATGGGAATAAAGTCCCATGGACACTGAAGTCCCATTCAGTGTTCCCAGCAATTCCCGCAGGGATGATAACTCTGTTAGAGCTGGCAATTTGCCTATCAGCTCTACTTGCTGCCTACCTGGAGTTTTAGCATCCTATCCCAACATAACTCCTAGATACTTCACCTCCCTGACTACCAACTGCACCTTGGCTCTATTAACCTTGAACCCCATTTCCTCAATCACCTGCAACACTGCCCTCGTCACCTTTCACTACTTGCTCTTTGTCACCTCCATATATCAGTATGTCATCTATGTATGACAACACACAACTTTGACTATCTGGAGAAAGCTTGTCCCACATCCTGACCACATGTGCATGGCATATTGCTGGGGCATTGTGAAATCCTTGGGGCAAGGATTTTACTCAAGTAAAACAATACTGTTGTCCCTTGAATGTAAATCTGAGTTTGTACCAGAATTCCTGTGCCAAGAGAAAAGCAAAAAATGCATTAGCCAAGTCCAGTACTGAAAACCATTTTGCCCCTCCTGCTATGGCTGCAAAAATTTCAGGGTATTTTGCCACAGCAAGAGCTGTGATAGGAGTCACTGCATTCAAAGCTCTGAAGTCTATTGTTAGTCTCCAGGTTTTCCCATCTGCTTTCAGAACAGGCTGAATCAGGGAATTGCACATGCTAAGCGTTAAGGCTGTGCGAAACAGAAGCATTCCATTTTGACCAGCATGTCAATGAACCAGTGGTCCGTTTCGACTTTTGTTTCGAGTCAAACGGCTGTTCTGTTCCGTTCCGTTCCATCGAAACGTTTTGTCGTTTTGACCCTGTTTTGATGTTTCGCCCATAGGATATCATGGGGAAGGTTGAAACAGGCTATAACTTTGTCATTTCTGGCCTGATTTGGATGAAACTGGCAGGGACTGTAGCCCCTTCCGAGGGCATGAAGCGTGCTAAGTTTCAAGAAGATAGGTGCAGAGAGTTCAGAGAAACTGCACCCCAAAATCTTGAAAGCAGAACTCATGTCACATGTATGTGTTAAGCCACAGTAGGGTGAACGCTGCAGGCATGCTAGCCCCTGTAGAGGCCACAAAGCCCGCCAAGTTTCAAGGAGATCGGTGAAGGGGTTTGGGGGAAACTGCACCTCAAGCTGGGGACAAGCAAAACTCGTGACATGGGTGACACTGTGTGTGTTAAGGCGCAGCAGGGTGAAAGCTGCAGGACTGCTAGCCCCTGCTGAGGCCACGAAGCCTGCCAGATGTCAAGGAGATTGGTGCAGGTGTTCTGGGTTCTGGCACCCTGCACTTCTAGCTGCTGACAGGCAAAACTTGTGACATGGGTGCTTGTGCAACTGTGCCTGTCTTGGGGCAAGGGTCGGGGGGAGGAAACCACTGCAGGCCTGGCTGCTAGGCCCTGCTGCGGCCACAAAGCTTGCCAGCTATCAAGGAGATCGGTGGAGAGGGGTTCTGGGGCCCTGCACCCCTAGCTGCTCATAGGCAAAACTCGTGACATGGGCACTTGTGCAACTGCTGCCTCTCATCAGGCAGCAGGACTGAAAATCCCTCATCACTTGTCATCAAGACCTGGGGGTAATAATTGACCACAGTATGAACATGAGCTGGCAGTGTGATGCTGTAGTCAGCAGGGCCAACAATACGCTGGCATGCATCAATTGATGCACCTCCAGCAAAACCATTGCAAAGAAGTGATTCTCCTGCTCTACGTGGCCCTACTCAGCATTGGTGAGACTGCAGCTGAAGTACTGCATCCAGTTCTGGACTCCACACCTTAACAAGGATGTGGTAAAGCTTGAGAGAGTCCAGAGGAGGGCTAACCATATGATCAGAGACTTGCACAGCAAGACGTATGAGAAAAGCTGAGGGATCTGGGACTCTTCAGCCTGAAAAAGAGAAGGCTGAGAGGGGACTTGGTAGCAGCTTACTGCTGCATCAGAAGCATACATCTAGGGCTCGGTGAACAACTGTTCACCAGGGCATCCTTGGGGGAAAACTAGGAGTAATAGTCACAAACGCCTGGAAGATCATTTCAGGTTTGTTTCGGGCTCAGCATTAGGAAAACCTACTTCACAGCTAGGGTGTCCACACTGTGACCATTACCAATCCCCACACTTGGGATCAGAAACAAATTTTACGTCGTGGTCAGACTGTTGCAGGCTGGGGGGGGGGTTGCCTTCCTCTGTAGCTGAGGGCATGGCCCTCTACTGGGGATCTCTTGAGCATATACAGGTTTCCTTTGCTTTATGTGGGTTCAGTATGCAGGAATTTGTTCATATGCGAGATCCCTTTATACCAAAAATTTGTTATGTGAGGTAAATTCATTCTTATGTGATCGGTGTGGTGGAAGCCCACAGTCAGCTGCTTTGTGTGCTGCATTGTGGGAGTGATGCACACCAAGGTATAGTCTCCTGTGTGGATCTGTGCTCTTAACACACACAGTGTCCCCGATGTCATGAGTTTTGCTTGTCCGCAGCTTGAGGTGCAGTTTCCCCCAAACCCCTGCACCTATCTCCTCGAAACTTGGCACGCCTCATGCCCTCAGAAGGGGCTACCATTCCTGCAGGTTTCATCCAAATCAGTCCAGAAATGAGAAGGTTATAGGCTGTTTCGAGCTTCCCCATTATAGTCTATGGATGAAACGTCAAAACAGCATTGAAACTGTTTTCACAAAAGGAAACGAAGCAGCAGTTTCGAGTTGAAACGCAAGTCGAAACGAACGGCGCGATTCCGCACAGCCCTAGTTGAGGGCAGTCTTAGGTGGTTGACCGTGATGGTTTGGACAGGGCTGATCCTGCCTCAGGCTGGGGGTTGCACTTCTCGGGGTCTGATCCAGCGGTTCCCTAGTGCAGCGGGCCCCGAACGTTTCTGCACCACTGTTAGCCCTCGGCCTTTCTCCAGGCCCGTGGCCCATCCGTGCCCGTGGCTAAACGCGTGGCTGGGGCCAGGCAGCGATACCCGCGCGCCGGGAGCGAGCCCTGGTCCCGCAGCGCGGCCGGGACGGGCCGGGGGCGCCGCGGAGCTTTGCTCCCCCTGGCAGGGGCG